TGTTATTATATCATTATTATATCATATTATTGTCATTTTAGATCATCCTAAATTATTACTTGAATATAACTTTTTATTTCTTTGTTTCCTTTAAATCATCTATTTTAATATAATTTCTGGTTTATGTAACATTTGTTTTCTATTTTATTCATTATTTATTTATTATTTTACATGGGGTTTCTCTTGGAACCACAGTGATTTGATGACCCCTGGATTTTGTTGCAAAGACGACAAGAATAATGCTTTAGTAAAGAGATGCTAGTTGTGAGAAAGGCTCTTAGGGTCAACCCTCTGTATATGTCTAAAACAAATCGAGTTTCAATAAAATGTGTGTGTGTGTATATATAAGTATATATATATATATATATATATATATATATGTATATATATATATATATATATATGTATATATATATATATATATATATATATATATATATATATATATATATATATATATATATATATATATAGTTTTGTTTTAGGACAAATTCTATATTTTGCTGCTCAATATATTTGAATTATATTGCAAATTAAAAAACGAACGATAACCAGGTGGATTAAGAATATGCTGATTTTATGATACTAACTGACATAAAGGTTATGTGAAAAGTAATTTTGGTAAATCATTAAAAAGATTCATAATGCATAACTATCCATTTACTGACTCTGTTTATGACTTTTTCTTCTGACTTTTCATCCCTGCTAAAAAAAAAAAAAAAAGGAATCCATTATAAAATGTGTAATGATTTCATAGTATATGGTTATGGGAATTGTATTGGTTTAAATTGAAATGATAATGGCCCCTCTGGATAACTACTGGTAATATGTTGCCTTCCGTTGATGGGATGTTAAATTCACTTCTGATGTAATACAGTATGGGCCAGAACACACAAGAAACCATTCAAATGTAGTGGTTTTAATGATTCAAAATGGTGGTTTGTAGTGTTTTTAATAGTGTTTGTAGCGGAAACCATTAGTACTTTTGTGATGGTTTCAATTGATTTTTTTGTGCAGGGTTGTCCAAGGTTTTAGTTATTTATTTATTTTCTGTTCTGACCAATAGCGCCCTCTGGTGTCTCTATAGCTAAAATTGCTATAGTTATCACATTTATGTATATACAGTTGAAGTCATGATTGGCCCCCCTTAATTATTAACCCCGCAGTTTATTTTTTCCCCTAATTTCTGTTTAATGGAGAGAAGATTCTTTCAACACATTTGTAATCATAATAGTTCTTATAACTCATGTCTAATAACTGATTAATTTTGCCATGATGATAGTAAATAATGTTTGACTAGATATTTTTCAAGACACTTCTATACAGCTTAAAGTGACATTTAAAGGCTTAACTAGGTTAATTAGGTTAACTAGGCAGGTTGGGGTAATTATTAGGCAGGTTTGTTCTGTAGACTATTGAAAAAAGTATTGTTTAAGAGGGCTAAATGTTGACCTTAAAATGGCTTTTAAAAAACTGCTTTTATTTTAGCCTACATAAAACAAATAAGACTTCCTCCAGAAGAAAAAAAAATATTATCAGGCATACTGTGAAAATGTCCTAGCCTTGTTAAACATCATTTGGAAAATATTTAAAAAAATAAAATTCAAAGGGGAGCTAAATAATGACTTTAACTGTGTGTGTGTGTGTGTGTGTGTGTGTGTGTGTGTGTGTGTGTGTATATATATATATATATATATATATATATATATATATATATATATATATATATCCAGCCAAGTTTATGCTGGTCGGGCTGGAAATGCCTGGAAATAGCCAAAACCCTTTTAAAAAATTTATCTGGTCAACTGCCTAAAACTAGCCAACCAGCTTAGGCTGGTTTTAAGCTTTTTTTCAGCAGGACAAGCCAGAAAGCTATAGCACTGAGTCAAATGTTGCTGACGTGATGCCCCTATTTTGAAAACAAATTAATGACGAGCGTTTATATGAGGTTATCGACTAAAATCTGTGTTAGTGGAAAGTGCATCGCCAACTCTACATGCACCTGTTTACAACAACAGACGATAAAACAAGATATTCCTCATTCTTTCACTAACTGTGCAATGCACTCCGTCACTAGCCGAAATTCAAAACCTTAAAACTGTCTACCTAAGTTAAGTGTTCAGATCATATGCCATTTTAAGCACCAGCAGCAGCTTACCTTGACCCATGTGGAGTGTCACTCTCCAGGCCATTCGGAAGGCCGATGCAGAAGGTGGCTTTCCCGGTTGTGCTGCTGTATTCTCCATAGGCCGAGAGCCTGCGGGGCAGACGGGGCAGTTGCAGGATCCCCGAAAACGTCCTCTTCACCGCCCGGTGACTCTGCAGCGGTTTGGTCGCGTGCAGGTGCACAGTTTCCCATTCTCTCTGAATTAAAAACAGTTGGTAAATAATGCTCATCAGTTCGAAGTCTTTGACTATAACAGCACAGAAGATAAATTATTGACATAATCACCAAATAATACCTATTGTAATCTAATGAATTCACCGTAATTACCATATCAGTTAACAATGTGACTTGAAAATATTGAAGATCCAACCAGGCCCATAACATCCACACTATGATGGCGTGAGAATCCCGGGAAAAAACGGGTAGGCCCAATTACAAACAGTGTGGTTATATAATATAATCTTTTAAAACAGGGACAAATTTGCATTCCTGAACCAATACCTGAACGGGTGCCCGTGAAAGACTGCACTTTTATTTCCGTGCGTAACTAATGTGCGAGCAGCAGGTGTTAAAATAACAAACTATGCTTCTAATTTTACATTACTTTTAGGATATATGTAGATACAAAGACCTATTTTATTAGGAAAGTTACTTGTGAACACTTACTGCGTCTATCGTTGCTCTACGTTAGGTCTGCCCGTCTCGCTCGACGACAAAATGTCTTTCCGCCTAGACTTTTGAGCGCGAAGACATTAATATGAGCCGTTATAGGGGTGATCAAATGTATATTCATATTATCTAATATTGAATTATTAATATTGTTATTTAAATACAGATTAGAGTAAATAATATTTTCTCATTAAAGGGCTGATCTTGTTTTGACGATCTTCATCAGGCATCAAGTGTTGATTATGAGGGTCAAACCGTCAACCCCCCCCCCCCCCCCCCACCCCGTAACCTTGGTTACAAGTTACAAACAATTAAAATGTAACATTTTCCTTTGGCAAAAACATGTCAAAAGTAACCAAAGATGGTATTTTTAAATATAATGCACTTTAATTGCTGATGGTAACTAAACCTTTAAAAGTTGCAAAGTGAGGGTTTACCGCAATGATGAACCATTATTTTTTTAGTGTAAATAAATTATAAACATAAAATACAGCAATAATCATAAAAAATTATAAGGTAAGAAAAAAGCAACCTTTATAGACATACATATTTTTTCTTATTGCTCTCAATTTTAAAATAAATCACAATAACTGGATGCAGCTTGGAAAATTGGCCACACCAAAGTTTTTTAATCATCTTATCACATTCTTTATAGCTGGTTTTTTTATGTGACAGAAAAAAAGTTGCCTGATACGGTGCAATTGTTCAGTATTATAGCATACCTAAACTTTCCTATTTGAATACACTGCATCAGATGACTCAGTGAGCATAGCTTGGAGGATCAGTTTTACAAGTCTTTCACCAATTATTGAACACAATGCAAGTACATTTGATCGTGAGCTTGACAAAGTAACATTTGTTTGGATGAGTCCAAAATATTTCTAATAGGGAACAAGAACATTTTTAAGAGTGTAATGATTGGATAGTTAACCCAAAAATTAAAGATTTGAAATTATTTACTCCCCCAGGACCTGTTACAAACCTTTAGTTTTTTTCTACACAAAACATCTGGGAAAGCTAAATGTAACCACTGACCTTCATATATACATTTTTCCTTCTATGGAATGGTTAGTTTTTCACCTTTCTTTAAAATATATACACTAGCTTTCAACAGAAGAAAGAAAATCATAAAAGTCTGAAATAACTTGAGGGAGAGTAAATAGTGAATGAATGTAATTTTTGGCTAAACTCTCTCTCTCTCTTTAAATGATTATCATGGATTAACTGATACCAAGAATCTTTGTTGCAAGAGTGTTCTGCACAGTCACAGTGACTCTAAACCAAACCATCAAGAATCCAATCAGTAAAGACAACTGATGAACTGATATGACCCACCTCTGGTGTCCAGAAAGACTTCAGAGATGAACTTCTCTTCATATTGTTGAAATGGGTCGACTCTAGAAACACACTGTTGCTATTAGTTGCTGCCTTTAAACTTTTTTTTATTATTATTTACCCTATAAGACATTTTAAATAGTTACATTAAATTGACCCAAAACATTAAGCTGAATATTGAATAACCTTAAATAAATAAGTAAAAATTAACTGATTTTAACCCTTTGAGTTAAGGTAACATAAAAACGTCAAGATGAAAGTTTAAACACAATATGCTCAAAACAAATACATTTAACAGGAAAAAAACACCTAAACATTATACTTATCCACATCCAGTTAAAAAACTAGAGACAAATCATGAAAATCTATATTAATCCAATTATCCAAAGGTTCAAAAAAACTAACACTTACCACCAAAACTGATGATCTAGTAAGCAATATTGTGTATTTCTTAAAAAAAATAAAAGTGGTAATAAGTCCTAATTTTGAAGCATTTCTTCTGTCAGAGAGATTCAGATTCAAAAAAGCTTGTGTCCAGGCTCGTGGCAAGTAACCTTTATAGCTCAAAACTAAAAGGATTGTGTGAACTTGCTGTCAGAACACCTGTGTTTTATCAGTTTGCAAGCCCCTATCCAGTCAAATGGTGTCCCGTCAATCTCACTCAGCAGGTTTAACAAATCTCACGTGCCGCCAAAGAATATCATCCACTACTGAAAGATGGACACTGTGATGAGAGAGAGAAAAAAATGCTTTTCCATATTTGCAATTCCAACTCAAAGTTGAAGTTATGCTACATTTCAATCTGACAGAAAATATATGGTAATATTCCTCACACGCACGAAAAAATGTTTATTTCCTTCCATTAAATAAACAAATCCAAGTAGTCAAAAATCAAAAGCACTAGATACATTAATCATCAAAAAATTATATTACTAGGAAAAAATTTGCATGTAAAGGCAATTCTTGAACATCATAATAGCAACAATCAACAGTAAGATTACTGTCTATGTCATTTATGTTACATAAAGCATTTCTCAAATATATATAGGAAAATAATTTTGGCATTATTTTGATTATAAACATGCTTGACCAAACTGAAAACATCAGTATTTATAGTAAAAGAACTAAAAAACGTTCTACTATAAAATCATGTGTATATAAAGTAAACAGAATGATTTATTTTTTTTAAAATTGCCCAGCGTATGTCACAAATACACAGATTTTGGACAATTACATTTGTTTTAAAATGTTTCAATACACTGTATAATTTAAAAACAAATATAAAGCAAAATGTGCAATCTACCAATATTTACAGGATTTAATCTGTTATAAGAAATTTACAGACAGTAAGCTGTCGATTAACAGTCTCCAGAATAACATTTATTTAAATGTGTGTGTTTAATGCTGGTCAGACATCTTCAGGCGGTTCCGTCAGCTTCTTTTGTGACCTCTACTGTGTCTCCTGGAAAAAACACAAATGTCAATAATCAGTTGTCACAATATAGCATTCAACCAGGGAGAGAGTCTTACTTTTTAGTTTAAACTCGCCAGGAGTTAAAATGTAAGATTGTTACATTAAAACAAATTTGATATCCTGAAATCCACTAGAACAGTGTTTCTCAACCACGTTCCTGGAGGACCACCAACACTGCATGTTTTGGATGTCTCCTTTGTCTATCGCACCCATTACAGGTCTTTCAGTCTCTGCTAATGAGCTGAAGATCTCAATCAGATTTTACGCAACTAAAAGTATGTACTTTTTTCGTAAAGGAAAAATATACACTTTTAAGTGTGTAACAGAAGAGCACAAGCTTTAGGACAAACTACTTTTTTGTTAACAGATTGTTATTGTGCTTACTTATGAGTTGTTATGGGCCATTTATATGGATGCACCTTAATAAAATGTTGGTGATAATAATGATATTGTAATGTGGCACATTAGAATATGTGAGGGGACAAACTTTTCAAGATGGGTGGTGACCATGGTGGCCATTTTGAAGTCGGCCATCTTGGATCCAACTTTTTTTTTTTTTTTTCAATAGGAAAAGGGTCATTTGACACATCAAACTCATTGGGAATTTCACAAGAAAAACAACGGTGTGCTTAATTTTAACGTTATTCTTTCATGAGTTATTTACAAGATTTTGACCACTTATAAAATGTATTCAATGTGCTGCCCATTGTGTTGGATTGTCGATGCAACCCTCTTCTCCCACTCTTCACACACTGATAGCAACACCGCAGGAGAAATGCCAGTACATACTTCCATCCCTAGTTTCAGGTGCTGCACATCTTGTATCTTCACACCATAGACAATTGTCTTCAGATGACCCCAAAGATAAAATTCTAAGGGGGTCAGATCAGGAGACCTTGGGGGCCATTCAACTAGCCCACGATGACCAATCCACTTTTCAGGAAAATGTTCATCTAGGAATGCTCGGACCTGACACCCATAATGTAGTGGTGCACCATCTTTCTGGAAAAACTCAGAGAACGTGCCAGCTTCAGTGCATAAAGAGGAAACACATCATCATGCAGCAATTTCAAATATCCAGTGGCCTTGAGGTTTCTATTGATGAAGAATGGCCCCACTATCTTTGTTGTCTATGGTGTGAAGATAAAAGATGTGCAGCACCTGAAACTACAGATACTGGAAGCCTGTGCTGGCATTTCTCCTGCGGTGTTGCTATCAGTGTGTGAAGAGTGGGAGAAGAGGGTTGCATTGACAATCCAACACAATGGGCAGCACATTGAACACATTTTATAAGTGGTCAGAAACTTGTAAATAACTCATGAAAGAATAAAAAGTTACATTAAAACCAAGCACACCATTGCTTTTCTTGAGAATTTTCCAATAAGTTTGATGTGTCAAATGACCCTCTTCCTATTAAAAAAACAAAAGCTGGATCCAAGATGGCCGAATTCAAAATGGCCACAGTCATGGCCACCCATCTTGAAAAGTTTAACTCCCTCACATATACTAATGTGCCACAAACAGGACGTTGATATAACCAACAATTTCTATTTTATTAAGGTGTATCCATATAAATGGCCCACCATGTAGAAGCAGCAGCAGCAGTTTAATCTGCCATTATAGAGTCTTTTTTTTAAGATTTATTTTTGGCCTTTTTGCCTTTATAACATAGGACAGTATTAGATAGGACAGGAAGCGAAGTGGGAGGGAGAGAGGGGTAGGGTTTGGGTAATGTCCTTGAGCCGGGATTTGAACTCGGGACGCCCTGCTTGCTACTGCACCATTTGTCAGCGTGCGAACCACTAAGCTATTGCAACGATGATTATAGAGTCTTTAATGCAGAGAAATCTAATTCAGACGTTAATGTCCAAACACGTCTTTATATAAGTTCAGTATTGTTGTTTCAGATGAAATATAATACAGAAAACACGACTTATTATACGAAATATTTTCCAGTGGGCTAGATATTAATTAACAGTCATTCGAACAACTTTACCGAAGCCTCTTACTTGACGGTTGGTCTCGCACGTTCATCATGCTTGTAGTTTATTTACATTTTTCAACCACGTTTGTAGTTCTAATCGAAATCACATCCAACGCGCAATGTACTGTGGGCAAAGGCAGGGATTAGAGTATCAACGGTTCTACACTTAAACATTTTTACTGGAAATGGTGAACCATCCGGGAACCTTTGGCATATTCTTTTCAACATACTATGATTTGGGACATACTAATTCTATTTTCAAATACTATTTAGGATGGATAGTATGTGAATTGGGACGCAGCAACGGAAAATGTGCAGAGCTGGTGGTCCTTCAGGAACGTGGTTGAGAATCACTTCACTAGAACATCCAGTCTAACTATTTTGCTAAGTTATATACATAAATTATTCCAAAATGTTTTGAAGAATGTTTGAATCTTGGGAAATAAGCTATTTTACCATATGAGCTGTGTCCTCTGCCATCATACTAACAACATCATACACCATTTCCATTTTTTTTGACTGTTGAATTAGAGCAGCATTATAACCGAACCATAAAATGTATTTAGCATGATGAAACAGAGCTGCTTGACCAGAAAAGCCAGAAGAGCTAGACTGGCTTAATAAAAGCTCTGCTGCTTTTGTGCCCCGTCATGCTCATCAGGAAATGTTTTAGCACTTTCATCTTGAAAACTTAGCTCATTCATAAACATGATTTCTGCAGGAGTCCCATAGGAGGTAAAGAAGATGACAACTCCCATGATTCCACACTCAAGCTGCCTTTCCACTGCACAGGACATTCACACATGACTGTTGGAATATGCCCCCTTGTGGCAGTCGCACAGAACTATCAGTTTTGTCATGCAACATGGGAGAGAAGCTGGATTCTCTGGTGTCCAAAATAAGGGAATGCAAAGCAAAAGCCATTATTCTCCATACATTCACCATGGTTGAATGAATGAATGAATGAATAAATACTAGAAAGTCATAGACTGCTAAAAATTGGAAATGTGGAGACAACATTTAAAAAAAAAAAACTATTACTCATTAATTAATAAAAATGTTTTTTTTTTTATATATAAACTTTTTTATGATTAAAAAAATAAAAAACAAAACTACTATTTCTCAACTGGCGTGCATGGATCTGCTTGGACAACACTGGAATACATCACATCCAGTCAGCCGGTCGCATACAGTCTAGTCGCAGAAGTTATATTCTAACGGATCTGCAGCTCAAGTTGGATCCGAATTTTCCACATTTAGAAATGATCGGAACTCCACGCAGCTCCCAGACTACTCTCCATTGGAAATGAACGATTTCCAGTCTGTTGCTTGTCATTTGTGATTGTGAAGGCAGCTTCAGTCACAATGTCATCAAACTACGCTTTAATTAGTTGTGAACACACGCCCTCTAGTGGTGAAAATTACATACTGTGCCTTTAAATAAACATGTTTTCACCAAGACTATCCTATTAAAAGAATTGTTCACCCACATTTTTATTTACTGTTAATTCATTCACTATCCATGAGTTTTTTACTTTTAGAATACGTTTAAATTTTTTTTTTTGCTGAAATTGTGTCGTTTGGAGCCTTAAAACCTCGGCTACGAATATCAATTTTGCCTGCATAAGATTATATGTGCCTGTTTACTTTAGAAATGATGGTAGCTTTTAATTTGTAGTTTTTAAATGTAATGCTCTTCCATTAAAAACGCTTCCATCTCAGATGTAAATTAACAGCAATCTGACATTTTGGGTAAATTGTTCCTTTAAGTTACTTCAGAGTTTGTGTTATGTGACAGATGCAAACATTTCTTACTGTGTTTGAGGTAGGAGAGGTAAGTGTCCCATCCCAGAGTAACTATATTCACATAAAGGACACGAAACTTGGGTGGCAGGAAGTAGAAATTTATCATCTGAGCTGCTGGCCAAACACACCAATCGGCCTGAAATAAAAGGTTTTGAAAAAGTGTCATGATCAGCTATGAGGATAAATGAATAGAACAAATGATTATCAGTGCAACATACCTTGTAAAACTCCCAAAATTTGTCTCTAAATTCCTGTTGCGCCTCAATGAAAGTGTGACCCTCCATCATTCCCATACCTTCATAAAAAAAAATTGAATAAAAGCAGGTGTGATTGAAATTAGACTTTTATTAAGTGTAATATGAATTTTAAGTAGGACTGGGCGATATATATTTCTCATATTGAATGATAAAAATATATATTTGCATATAAGTTTTTAATGCTTCCAGATTTAAAAGAGCATCCCAACAATGACTGATACCACAAAAATTAGAGGGTCCATTAAATAACATAACATACATTTTCGGCAGTCGAAATATTAACGCACTTTTGGACTCCCATTGTTGCACATTTCTGTCGAGTGATTGGCTCTTAGATCAAAATAGAGTAAAATAAAAGTCCAAAGCTTATCACTTTAATTGACAAATTTCATTGAGATTTGATATAATATCGGCCCAGCCCTAAATCGAAGTATTTAAAAATGAATCAGTCATCAACTCTGAAAATAATTACCCAAAAAGTACCAGGCCCCCAACGTTGGCGACGCAACCAGCTGATCAACGAGCACTTTCTTGCAGACATTATTTATGCCATTGCCAATGAAGTATTTGTCGAGCCACTGGTACCAATAGTGCATGAAGGGGCCCATAGAGCATCCCACAGCAAACATACAACCTGCAGGACACAAAAGCACCGTTTATGAAGCTTGCTATTATCTTATATTACATGTATCTTATATTAATAATTCCATCATTTTCTTTTCTTAGTATGATAACATTTGTTGATGATATTGAGAGCTTTTCCACAAATAAATATCTTTAAAAACTCCTCCTGCTGTTTTTGGGAATGTTTGTAAAAAAACAATAAACTATTTGTTTTGGGAAGTTTCTGGAGTAATGTTATTTTGAATTTAATTATTAAAAAATATATATGTGCTTTTTATTTGTGTTTTTTTTAAGAAAAAGAAAAAGGTCAAAGAAAGTTTTTGTATAATTTACTTATGTTCATTATAAAGTTTTACACTTATAAATATAAATACACATACAGTAACCCAAATTCATCTACATATACCAATAACTGAATCAGTATTTAAGCACAATATCAATATCTAATGATAAAAATGTCATACATTCACCACACACACACACACACACACACATTATACATATATATATATACAATTTTACAATAATGTGCTCTTCATTCACAGGGAAAAATTAAGAGTCCAGAATAAGTATTATTTGTTTACCATGGGTAGATACATGATTCGAGTGAAATTAAAAAAATTGAATTACATGAAAAACTTCTAATCTGAAATGTTGAAGATACATTCAAAAAATACATTTGCTCTTTGTTCAAACTACTTATTTAAAATGAGTTGAAACAACACAATCCTTTTGTGTGTTTTTGGGACAACTTAATTGTTTTAAGTTAACATAAACGATTTGTGTTGGGACAACATAAATTAATTGTGTGGATCCCTGCATTTATTTATCAGTAGTTTGTATTTTATACTGTATCAATGGAAGAAACGGTTGAGTGATTTTATAATATACAGTTGAAGTCAGAATTATTAGCCCCCCTGAATTATTAGCCCCTCTGATTTTTCCCCAATTTCTGTTTAACGGAGAGATTTTTCAACACATTTCTAAACATAATAGTTTTAATAACTCATCTCTTATAACTGATTTATTTTATCTTTGCCATGATGACAGTAAATAATATTTGACTAGATATTTTTCAAGACACTTCTGTACAGCTTAAAGTGCCATTTAAAGGCTTAATTAGGTTAATTAGGTTAACTAGGCAGGTTAGGGTAATTAGGCAATTATTGTATAATGATGGTTTGTTCTGTAGACTATTGAAAAAAAAGATAGCTTAAAGGGGCTAATAATTTTGACCTTAATTTTTTTTTCTTTAATAAAAAAACTGCTTTTATTCTAGCCGAAATAAAACAAACAAGACTTTCTCCAAAATAAAAAATATTATCAGACATACTGTGAAAATGTCCTTTCTCTGTTAAACATCATTTGGAAAATATTAAAAATTCAAAGGGGGGTTAACAATTCTGACTTAAACGGTATGTATCCACATAACAGCTAATAAAAGAAGTATAGTTACAAGATACAAAGTCACAAAGTGATATTACAACTCTCATGTTGGTTACAATGTTTAAAGGTCATGTAAAGTGGGTAAAGGTGTTTATATATAAAGTGAAACATGTGTGTAGTCCGTTATATGACTATGTATATGTTATATGACAATTAAATTGTGAATAGTTTATGAAGAATTCTATGACTGTATAGTAATGTGTAATAGTAGTGTGCAGGAAAATTGTATGTAAATATTCTGAAATTTTGTGATATACAATTGAAGTCAGAATTATTAGCCCCCCTATGACTTTTTTTCTTCTTTAAATATTTTCCAAATGATGTTTAACAAGGCAAGGGCATTTTTACAGTATGTCTGATAATATTTTTTCTTCTAGAGAAAGTCTTATTTGTTTTATTTCGGCTAGAATAAATAATTTGTATAAATAATAATGTTTTTTATTTTTTTTTAAAAACATTTTAAGGTTAAAATTATTAGCCCATTTAAAGCTAGATTTTTACCCATTGTCTACAGAACAAACCATCATTATACAATAACCTGCCTAGATACCCTAATTAACCTAGTTAAGCCTTTAAATGGCACTTTAAGCTGTACAGAAGTGTCTTGATAAATATCTAATAAAATAGTTTTACTGTCATCATGGCAAAGATAAAATAAATCCATTATTAGAAATGAGTTATTGAAACTATTACGTTTAGAAATGTGTTGAAAAAATCTTTCCGTTAAACAGAAATTGGGAGAAAAAATAAACAGGGGTGTAATATTATTTGTGAAAATGTTTACATATGTTATATGTAACAATGTTGTGAAAGTATACCGTTATGTGCACTCATATAAAAAATATATACAGATTCTGACGTGAAGCAGCAGCAGCTCCGTGTTTCGTGTTTCAATAACATATTATCGTCCCTCGTCAGGCGACAAGGATGCTACAATTGCAACAAAAAACACACTCTCTAGGGGTCGCAACACCACGCGAGTTCTTGAATCTCGCGTTATTTTCATGACAGGACATTCACGCGATACCATAACAAATACATAAAAGCAAACTTTTTTTCATCATGCGTTGACACCAAGTGTACAAACACGAGCTGATATAATTATTAAGACACCGCAAAAAGTTTTTAAAAGATCATGCGTGTTGTCGTCACCTGTCCGCGACCAGTCACGTGTTCGGCCGGGTGTCCTCCGGATCTCTCGGGTCTGCTGGATGAGGTCTCCTGCCGCCAGCATTCCCCCGCAGCTTACCGTATTGGTGACGATCAGAAATCTGCCTCTGAAAAGCGGCTTCCAGTAACCGGCGATCCTGACCAGAAACTCCTTACCCTGACGAGATATCATGTTGACGACGATTTCACTCAAAATCCTCTCAGCTGTTTGCTCGAGCAGCGCCTCTGCTCCTCATTCGCCACTTCTGTGCCTTTACTCCGGAGTAAATCTCATAACATATGCTAATAAAATGTCTAAATACTGACAAGTGATGTAACTTAACCAATGCATCCGTAATACTTCAGATAGATGCGTTAAACCGGTGTCGTTTCGATATGCGAGAATGGCTTCTTATCGTAGTTTCTTCCGCAGCGGGTAGTTTAGATTGTCCAAGAGATTTTACATGTTTAACTGAGATTTCATTCATGTAACCGAAAGACGGAGCAGCCAACATGAGTCGGCGACGAGACCATGCGTAATGGCGTTGCGCTCACGAGCATCAAGGTTGCGTCAACGTGCGCAGGAAGCCGCAACTTTCACTTTGACCCCGTCGATAATGATTGATTGATGGATGATTATTTACTATTGAATCATCATTTCTTAATCTTCGGTCACCCCTTATTATCGCTAGTTTATATTCCTTCGGCTTAGTCCCTTTATTCATCAGGGATCACCACAGCAGAATGAACCACCAACTTATCCAGCATGTTTTAAACAACAGATTCCCTTTGAGCTGCAACACAGTACTGGGAAACATCCATACAATCTGACATTCAAGCACATACACTATGGCCAATTAAGTTTTTTCAATTCACCTATAGCGCATGTTTTTTTAATCCATATGCCAACTGTCCGAGCCGGGACTCAAGCCAGCGACCTTCTTGCTGTGAGGTGACTGTGCTAACCACTGAGCCACCGTGTCACTCATTTTAAAGGCAGATGAATGAACTCTCTGTAGGACACAATAAAGTCAAAGATTCTGGTTAATGATAAGTTGTAGACAAGCAAAAATGGAAAAGCATTGAGGAAGCATTTTACTAGAGTAAAGTGCACTTTAGCAGACATTAAACAGGCCTGTAGCCGGGATGGGTGGGGTCAGAAGACCCACCCTCACTGACAAAGGTACAGAATTTGTTCATCATGAATAGTAAAAATAAGCCATTGAAAATAACTTTAAGACCAAGCGGAATCCTCTGTTGGCCTTCACTTCGGTGTGACTTCAGCTAATTAGTTTTGGCTAATGCAAACTATTATTTTTCATGAGTCCAACACCCAGCGGTGCAGGAAAACATACAATCTGATGAAAAAAAGGTCATCTTTTGCTACTGTATTGTTTATGAATAGAGAAAACATTATAAGTGACTTTTATTCTAAATCTTGGACCTTATTCTTGAAACAAAAATGACCAGCAAAAAGGTGTGAAGCACCAAAAACAGCAGTCCATATTTCAAATGTACTTAATTTATTAGAGAGGCTAGAAAATTGTGCTTAAAATGTAACTGCGGTGGTGCGATGGCGCAGTTGATAGCGCTGTCGCCTCAGCAAGAAGGTCGCTGGTTCAGACCTCGGATGGGTCAGTTGGCATTTCTCTGTTAAGTTTTCATGTTCTCCCCGTGTTCACAAGGGGTTCCTTTGTTGTAAATAAGAGAGTATGTGTGTTTACAAGTGATGGATTTAAGCTGTAAGGGCGTCTGCTGCATAAAACATATGCTGGATAAGTTGGTGGTTCATTACGCTGTGGTGACCCTGACTATTAAAGGGACTAAGACAAAAAGAAAATGAATGAATGAATGTCACTAAATTCAATGCAGTATTTAAATCTCATAATTACAGTGCATCCGGAAAGTATTTATAGCGCTTCATTTTTTCACTTTTTTTTATGTTACAGCCTTATTCCAAAAGTGCATTCAATTATTTCCTCATAATTCAACCCACAATACCCCAGCATGATAAAAACAGATTTTTTGAATTAGTTGCAAATATAAATTAAAAAAAATGTAAAATGACATGTACATAAGTATTCACAGCCTTTGGCGTGAAGCTCTAAATTGAGCTCAGGTCCATTCTGTTTCCACTGATCATTTTTGAGATGTTTCAGCAGCTTCATTGGAGTTCACCAGTGGTCAATTCAGTTGACTGGACATGAATTGAAAAGGCATACACCTGTCTATACAAGATGTCAGGGTTGACAGTGCATGTCAAAGTGCAAACCAAGCATGAAGACAAAAGAATTATCTGTAGACCTCCGAAACAGGATTGTCTGGAGGCGCAAGGCTGGGGAAGATTAGACAAAAATTTCTGCTGCTCCGAAAGTTCCAATGAGCACAGTGGCCTCCATCATCCTTAAGTGGAAGATGTTTGGACCCACCAGGACTCTTCCTATAACTGGCTGGCCATCTATTCTAAGTGATCAAGGGAGAATGGCCTTAGGAAGGTGAATTAATAACCTGATGATCACTCTGTCTGAGCTCCAGCATTTTCTGTGGAGAGAGAACCTTACAAGAGGACAACCATCTGTGCAGCAATCCACCAATCAGGCCTGTATGGTAGAATGGCCAGACGGAGGCGACTCCCCACCTGGAATTTGCCAAAAGGCATCTGAAGGACTCTCAGACCATAAGAAACAAATTTCTCTGGTCTTATTAGACTAAAATTGAACTATGTATTTGGAGTGAATGCCAGGCGTTACGCTTGGAGAAAACCATGCACTGATCATCAACAGGCTAATACCATCCCTACAGTGAAGCATGGTGGTGGCAGCATCATGCTGTGGGGATGTTTTTCAGCAGCAGGAACTGGAAGACTAGTCAGGACATAGGGAAATATGAATGCAGCAATGTACAGAGATGTCCTGAATGAAAACCTGCTTCAGAGTGCGACGGTTCATCATCCAGCAGGACAATGACCCAAAGCACACCGCCAAAATATCTATAAAATGGCTACACAACTGTCCTTGAGTGGCACAGCAAGAGCCCAGACCTAAATTCTATTGAACATCTCGAGAGGTACTGCAAAGTTCCTATTGAGCTTGAGAGGTACTGCAAAGAGTAATGGGCAAAAAATCCCATAGACAGGTGTGCCAAGCTTGTGGCATCATATTCAAGAAGACTTCAGGCTGTAACATTAGTAGTATTGAGAAAAGGCTGTGAATACGTATGTACAATGTGATTTTTCAGCTTTTTTATTTTTAATAAATTTGCAACAATATCAAATACTTTGTCACATTGTCATTATGGGGTATTGTGTGTAGAATTTTGAGGAAAAAAATGAATTTAATCCATTTTGGAATAGGGCTGTAACAAAAAAAATGTGGAAAAAGTGAAGCGCTATCAATCCTTTCCAGATTCACTGTAAATAGAAAAAGGAGGACATACAACTGCAAAAGTTCCACTTGAAGAAAAAAAAAGACCCACCCCTTTCACCAGGTTGGCTACGGGGCTGTTAAAAGAAATCCTTAATGCACAAACAAGTAATGGAAATTAGCTTTTAATACATTGTATGCATGCATACTTTCATGTACATATAAAAAATAACAACAGCAAACTAATTATTCAAATAAAAAATCTGCATTTCAGCATGTGCTTGCTTTGGTTTCATACACTGTCTTCATCCCTGACGCGAGTAGTGTTGTTTTCAGATACCCTGATTAGTTCATACAGTAATTGTTGGTGTTCTTCTTCAGCCCTAGAGTACAAGCAGCTGGTTTTTGACCCTGTTAAACACAAAGAATGGAGAGCTCATGTGACGGACTCCTCGCTGATGAGATAAAACGCTGAAATGATAATAAACACTAAGAAGACATCAAACAAACCTTGTACAAGCTGCACACCAGACTGAAGAGAGAACCCATCGCCTTGTCCTGAAGATCATCTGTGTGTTCCTGCAGGGACAGCGTTGACCCATTTAATTACCTCTGATAAACATCATTGTAAATAATAAGTGGATAAATCTGCTTACTCCGTTAACGGTTATCCACGGCACATATTGATGAGGCGGATTCAGTGCATCGGTTTTCACTGCATTTTCGTGCATTAATTTATTGCCTTGGTCGCCCTTCACACACTGCATAATTGAATCCCAGGTCACATCAGGACGATAGACTCCAAGACACTGAGATGAGATGTACAGATCAGCATTGCAGATCGCAACAGGGTAATATACATTTACAAATGACAGATTAAAGGACAAACCGAGATCGACAGACATATACTGAGAGCTGCACAGAACAGACAGACAAAGCAGTTTTAAAAATTATTCAACACGCTGAGAGTGAATCAATTCAGATGTATTATTGCACCTAAAATTTTAGTCAAATGTAATAATATTTATAATTTATAGGGTTTTTACTTTTTTTGCAATACAACTTTGCCATTTAACACTAATGAAAACAACAGTTCACTTGTAAGGTTGAGCACAAAGCTAATATTAAAACAAAGTTTAGTAGAACACAGTCTCCAAAGTCAAACATGGAGGGGGATTTTTTGAAGTATCAACCCATATAGGCAAAGATTGTGATGTCTACAGCACATAGACATGACTGAAATGTTCACTGGACCTTTCAGCAGAAAATTCACCTCACCCGTCCACTGAAGCTCAGTTTAGGGATCATTCTACAATATTTCGAGTTAGCTGTTTGGTCTCCAGGTTGTAAATCCCATTAAAATGTGAACTTGGAAGAGTGTACAGACCATCATATTGGGGTGATATAAACACACCCAGTCCTTTTTTTCAATTTAACAACATAAAACGGTGGAATAATTGGGAGCGGTTTTGAGACAGACCGCAACATGACGTAAGAGTGCGGTCCCCCCGCCCACCAATACTGATTGACAGGCGCGCATTTCCCCATCCTCAGTTTGTTGTTTCACGTTCGCCATTTTCAGCGTGTGAGTCAAAGCGATGTCACCAAAGAAACACTCTTGCTCTATTTTTGGATCTAAGGCTCATTGGTCCCAACACAAGAGCCTTCATTGTCTTCCTGCAAATGAGCAACAGAGATTTTACATTTACGGCCATTTGCGCTGAACACGCAGTGAATGCAACAAATCAAGATTCGGGCTATTAAAAACAGCTAATCCAACAAGTCTTTCAGCACTCTCTCCGAAAACACTCGATTGATCTTGGCTGGGAGATCAACATTTACCACATGATCGCTCTCACCGGCGCCATTGTTTATACCTTTAGGCGGGATTGCAAATGTGTACTTTTCATTGCGTTTTCCTTAAACTTCAGCCGTTTACATTTCCCGCAGTCACAGAAGCTCCCTGTCATCTCAACTAGGCGTAGTGAGCGCATTGCCTCGTATGCATGATGTCCCTCCATTGGAAATAACAAACTTGCCCTAGTTATAGCCTCAGTCTAAGTAAATCCAGTGTGTGTGGTTATTAGTCTCGGTGTACAGGCTGGGAACTTTAAACTAGCACACAGTTGGCATAACTTTGTTTAGTTGCCGCAGTTTTGTTCCATGCAGAAACACGGTGTTAAGAAGCCTTTATGATTAATTAACCGTGACGAATTAAAGCACAGTTAATAGAGTGAAACAGGTTAATAGTTGCATCCCAATACAGATGACGCATACATCGTTACATATCGGCTGTAAAACTATGCAAAGACACAAATGATTTTGTAACTACCACTCTGACATATTCTGGCACATTAGGAGTATTGACTCCTCAACAGTAGTCTCTGCTTGGTCTGTTTTCGAGCCCGGGTCATACATGTACGACTGAATGCTGGTCCTCTCACTCATGTTGCTTCTCTCGGTCTGCCTGTCTGTTGCCATACACAAAGCGGGGTAGCTCTTGGCTCTGCCCCTTGTAAAATTGGGCGGGAAGTCGAAAGTACTTTTCAGGCGAAGCAACACACCCCTAACACAACGACCTGTGTTCACACCCCCAAAATGACACTTTTTAACATATTATAATAAAAAATTCTGAAATGTGATTTGAACCTTACCTAAACTGGCACACTCAGAAGAACCATGATATTGATATTAAATCTTAAAAAGGGGGTAAAATATGTGTCCTTTAAGTTTTTCCAAGCAATAAATGGTGACAGGAACTTGAAAGCACAAGAGAAAATACTTTCTGGGGTTAGGGGTGAGCAAACTAAGGTTTAGGAACAATCGGATAGATGCTTTTCATCAGATTCATGTTCTCAGAGTCACACAGACTTCTATTTATAAAGTTTCTAAATAAGATTAATAAAGTAATTAATTGTTTTCATATTCTTTTGTTTACTGGAGCAGAACGTCTTGCAGATTAAAGAGGGTTGGGTGATTTTGATCACAACAGCAAATACATAGATGACAGACAGAGAGACAGGGATGGATATATAAATGGATGGAACTTACAGGCTGGGCTGATTTCAGCACATCGTTTCCCGACTCCATGCAGAAAATAACCATAACAGCATCCAAGCCTAGTTTATTCAGCATGCATGTCTGACAGAAAGCATGTTAAACAACAGAATCTTTAATCTCAGTGCTAAACAATGCTTAAAATATCAACATCAATCCACTTACGGGTTTAATTTACTCGAAAGGTGAAATAAATGTTAAAACCTCACCTCAATCATATTACCTAGACATTCATCTTCTCCGTGCTGACAGGTGAAGATGTACTTCCCTTGAGCTTGTGTCTCCTATTATACAAAAAAATAAAAAATAAACAAAAGAAAAAATAAACAAAATAAGTAAATATATATATATATATATATATATATATATATATATATATATATATATATATATATATATGTATATATATATATATATCTGGAGTTGCCTGCAACTGACAAATTTCTGTCCCCGTGTTTTTAATACACTTAAAGAAGCTATTAGCACAAATCTACACCCTAACCCCTTTGACAGCCCTTTTTAGCATTTCAGAGAGAGTTGACTTAACTGTTGCATCTTGCCAGGTTATTGCTTTCTCTACTCTTGGCTAGGCGAGCCATTCTTAAATGGAAACACATACTTCCTCCATCATGATATGTGGATCCAAGAAATCTCTAGCTGCATAAAACTAGAGAAGTTAAGATGTTTAGGATCTCTTTCTATCTTTCTACAAGACCCTGAGTCCTGTTTTAGACTATATTAGGTTTACCCTGTTCTGTTGATATCAGCTCTAATACACAGTAAATAACTGGAAAGAGCAATTATTGTCTACTTAAAGCGATCTTTTCATCTATTTCTTTTCTTTACTTTTTTTTAACTCTTTTATTGTTAACTTGTTAAAACAAATTTAGGTTGTTTTTTTTTCTCAGAGGATGTTTGTTTTTATTTCATAAATTTATGTTGAGGGGATAGTGGGGGGAAAAATTAAGTCTGCCATTTTTTTAATTCTGTATTATACAGTACCATGTATAGTTTTGTTAAATACCAATAAAAATATATTTATATACAAATATATTTACAAAGTGTAGGAAAAGGGACATTGTGATTTAAATATTTAGAATTGTGAAGGGAAAAAAATCACGTTTCTCAAGTTGTGATAGACTATTCACACTATAAGTAAACTGCCTAAAGAGCGGCGTGCAGTAGTGTAAATATACCTGTGCGTTTCCATATGGAACCAGATCAATCTCCATGATGTCTTGCAACATAATCAAGGTTGGCACGAGCTGAGATGTAAGAAACATTCTGCATCCTGGGCACAGAGATTCATAGTAGAGGCTCACTTTCACCTTGTCAGCGGCCTTTGTCGAGTTATACTTCATGCATTGTTCCAGCACCTTAAATGAGAATAAAGGGAACAGTAAGTTTCGTGCACACTCATCTCGACGTCCCCAAAACGTAGGGATTTCCCCGAAAGCGCCGAGCAAATAAAGAGAAGAGTTAATAAACGTCAGAGCACAAATATTCCTGAAAAAAACTTCAAATGACTTCAACTTCACTTTTTTTTGTGGCAAGCAAACGTACGGACACAAATGACTAGTTACAGATATAATAGAGACTCCAGCGGTTTATTTTCATGAAAAGAGGAAGTAGTAAATTAAGTTGGCTTTGGTTTTCACTTACCCCACATGTATAGTCACAAATGAATAAAAACAAAACGTACCGTCTTCTGGTTTCATTTTATCCAATTTAAGTAGAAAAGGTTGCTAAAGTTACATTTGTTTTGGTACAGGAGTCACTCTTACCCCACATTCAGCTGCTATGTCCTCGGAGCTGCACCATTGTGAAGGCGGATATTTACAGGAGTAAACAAACCGAGCGCTGCATTTACTCAGAGAAAACACGGCGACGAGCACAACGCACAGGTTAAAGCCGAACATGATGATTCCCAGTGTTCAGCTTGTCTTGAAGTCTGAATAAAAATCTGGACGTCCTACATTTTAAACTTTCTTCTTCCTCCAGCGAAAAAGGTGCGATATTTCGATTGGTTGAGGTTGTGACGTCATCAGAATCCGGCAAAACACAGCACTGTAAATGCTGGGCACAACCTGTTTTACAGTCTATGGGCACAACACGGTTATCATTCTGGGGAAGTTCTTGTTTTTACATAGGAGCAGATTCTTAAGATTCCCTCCAAAATTGTATGTACTTCAATAAGGAACTTTATTTTCTTTCGCTTAGAAGAATGAATTCTCTGTAATTTAATAGAGCACGTTGAACTTGCTGAAAACCCCTCGGTGTTTTGCTGTTGTTTGTTTTTATGATGCCTGTCTTTTGTCTGATTAAGGAAGCTTGCATTTGGTGTCAGGCCATTTATAGTTGAACTGTTTACTTAATTCAAACAAGCCAGAGGTGCACAAACATTTCTTATGAAGAGCCAAAAACCAAACTTGATACCAATATATCAAACAAAAATTTTAAAGTCAAAATAATGAGCACCTTTAAGCTATTTTTTTACCCGACTGTCTTCAGAACAAACCTGTTATCCAATAACTTGTCTAATAACCCTAACCTGCCAAACGTAGTTAAGCCTTTAAATGTGAATTTAAGCTGTATAGAAGTTTCTTGAAAAATATCTTGTCAAATATTATTTATTGTCATCATGGCAAAGATAAAATAAATTAGTTATTAGAAATCAGTGTTTAAAACTATTATGTTTAGATGTGTTGAAAAAAATCTGCTTTCCATTAGACAGAAATTGGGGAAAAAAATAAACAGGGGGGCTAATAATTCTGACTTCAACTGTATATAAAACATAGCAAGAGGAGCAAAAAGACAATTAATTATATACTTTATAGTTACGTCAGGTATTGCACTTATTCAACGTTTAGTTTAGATTTTCGAAAACTATGCAGCTTTTGGGCTGCAACAGAAGCTGAATGTTTATGAACTAACATTAGAATAGCAAGATCCCACTTTCACAGGTAAGGCTTGACGTTTGAGTTTCTAAAAATAGATTTATTTTATACAAAGTGTTTTTAATGAAAATGTTGACAGTCTTGTTTCTGTGTGAACTTCAAACATGACTGTCACATGAGCCGTTTTAATGCCTGATAAAAGATGTCAAAGCTCCATAAAAGTAAACAATGCAATACTGGTATTTTACAACATGCATGTGGGATACGTCTTATAAAACTAGTTTTAAACTCACTATGATTTTTTTTAAATTAATTGCCTTCCTAATCTTTAAGTAAAAGCAGTAACGTTGAAAAAAACAAAATCCTGTTTTGTCATGCATTTTTTTGTTTCTCATTCAAGGAGTCAACCCACAAAGATGTTCAACCCGAGAAGACAAATAGATTTGTGTTTTTTATCACATTAATCACTTTAAATGCCAAATATTATTCTTGAAATGTCAAATCACTTGACATAAAAAATCTATCAATGACCAAGGGAGAAATGTTCACTCTGTAAATCATTCTTGTTGTTTTGGCAATATTATTAGGTTTCTTACAGTGGACATCTGTTTTAACAGCATTATTACCATAGTCTCAACAGTTCTGCACTGTGAATGCAGTGTACCATGAGGTTTTTAGTGTTTTCTTTAAAGTTACCATACATCACACTGTAATGCAAAATGACTGGAAAACACCAAAAGCCTTTATTTTTACATGATAGACTTCCTGTTGGTATAATATTTGAATACTTAGGCCTGTATTAAGAGCTTTCACTTCAACTCTTATCAGGGTTATAACCTTAAAGCTAACACTACTGTTGATTTAACAAATATTTTACAGTGTGCAATTCCCCAATCTACTTATAAATAAAGCACATATCTGTACTTTCACTTGGCTGTGCAAATTTCCCTTCAGTGGGAAAATTACTGTATTAAAAGGGGAATTCACCCAAACATGGACATTTACTCGGTTTACTTGCCCTCAAGAGCTTCAAACCTTTTATGAGCTTCTTTATTCTGTTGAACACAAAAGAAGATATTTTAAAGAAAGCGGAGAGTCTGTAACCATCGACTTCCATACTGTTTCCTTTTCCACTATGTAAGTCAATGGTTACAGGCTTCCAGCTTTCTTTAAAATATCTTCTTTTGTGTTGAAAGGAGTAAACTAAAACGGGTTTAGAACAAAAAAGGGTGATTAAATCATGACTGAATAGGTTAATTATTGCAAACAAAACAAGGAACTAAAGCATCTCTTTACACTAGCGTCAGACATCTGACGCTCTTAGAATGTATTTTGTCAGATTACCCAATGCAAAGTAAATTAAAACTGCAATAATTCATGGATTGTCATCTCAGTTGGTCATAATAACAGTTATTTTCTTCATAATTGACCGAGTGATCAGTCTAAACTATATGCAGTACTGTAATTCTCAATGTATATGAAATTATTAACCTCAGTCACTGTAAATACATTAATGCAAATCTCCAATTCTATACACAAGACTTTGTATCAGTGTAATATTAAGAGCTTTCACTTTGACTTTCAAATGGATTAAAATAACGCCAGTATGTTGTTCTTAATTTGGCAAGATATTTTACAGCACGTGTGTCCCCTATTAGCCATGTACACTTGTAATTAGAAATAAAACACATTTTTTGGGTTGTGTAAATTTCCCTTCACTGGGAAAATGATTGTATTAAAGGTGGGGGAGTTCACCCAAACATAAACATTTACTCTGTTTACTTGCTCTCAAGAGGTTCAAAACCTGTTTATCTGTTATACTAAAAATGAAGATATTTTGAAGAAAGCTGGAAGTATTTAACCATTGATTTCTATACAATTTGCTTTTCCACTATGAAAGTCAATGGTTACAGGCTTGCAGATTTCTTCAAAATATCTTCTGTGTTAAAAGGAGTAAACCAAAACAGGTTTAGAACAAATAAAGGGTGATTAAATCATGACAGAATAGGTTAATTATCACAAACAAAACAAGAAACTACAGCATCACGTAATTCTTGCGTCAGACATCTGACATTCCTAGAAAGAGGGTTTTGTCAGCCAATTTAATGCAAAATAAATTAAATCTGCAATAACTAATGGATTGTCTTTTCGATTAGTCTTAATAACACTTAACACAAACTAATTAACACTTAATTTCTTCAATAAATGACAGATTGATCAGCCCAAACTATGCAGTACTGTAATTCTCAATGTATTCAAGGACTTTATTAGCCCGTCACTGTAAATAGTTATGCAAATCTCCATTTCTACACACAAGACTTTGTATCAGTGTAATATTAAGAGCTTTCACTTTGACTCCAAGAATGCCAGTAAGTTGCTCTTAATTTGATGAGATATTTTATAGCACGTAGGTCCCCTATTAGCCATGTACACTTGTAACCAAAAATAAAACACATTTTTTGACTACTCAAACTTCCCTCCACTGGGAAAATGACTGTATTAAAGGTGGAGGAGTTCACCCAAACATGAACATGTACTCTGTTTACTTGCCCTCAAGAGGTTCAAATCTGTTGTTCTTTTAAATCACAAAAGAAGATATTTTAAAGAAAGCAGATAGTCTTATCATTGCCTTCCATACTGTTTTTCCAACTGTTTTTCCAGTCAATGGTTACAGGCTTCTAGCATTCTTCAAAATATCTTCTTTTTTGTTGAAAGGAGTAAACTAAAACAGGTTTAGAACAAAAAAGGGCTAGCAAACCATGACCGAATAGGTTAATTATCACAAACAAAAACATGAAACTACAGCATCCCGTTAGTCTTACAGTTGTATTCGTACAGATGTAACCAGAAACTAGATATTAAAGTTTGAGGACAAACTTTATGGTGGCTTGAAAAGCCGAATCTGAAAGTTTGAAGTGGTTGAATTAGCATGTTACTAGCATGATTCTAGCATGAATTAGCATGCTACTAGGATAATTCTAGCATGAATTAGCATGTTAGTAGCATGATTCTTACATGAATTAGCATGTTGTTAGCATGATTCTAGCATGAATTAGCATGTTACTAGCATGATTCTAGCATGAATTAGCATGTTGTTAGCATAAATCTAGCATAAATTAGCATGTTACTAGCATGATTCTAGCATGAATTAGCATGTTGTTAGCATGATTCTAGCATGAATTAGCATTTTACTAGGCGGTTGCTAGGGTGTTTTAAGTGGTTGCTAAGTGGTTGCTAAGGTGGTGCAAGGCAGTTGCTAAGGTGGTCTGACTAGTTGCTAGGTGGTTGCTAGGGTGTTGCTAGACGGTTGCTAGGGTGTTTTGAGTGGTTGCTAGGTGGTTGCTAAGGTGGTGCTAGGCAGTTGCTAAGGTGTTCTGACTAGTTGCTAAGTGGTTACTAAGGTGTTGCAAGGTGGTCACTAGGGTATTCTGAGTGGTTGCTAGGTGGTTGCTAAGGTGTTGCTAGGCGGTTGCTAGGGTGTTCTGAGTGGTTGCTAAGGTGTTGCTAGGTGGTTGCTAAGGTGTCCTAAGTGGTTGCTAGGTGGTTGCTAGGGTATTCTGAGTGGTTGCTAAGGTGTTGCTAGGTGGTTGCTAGGGTGTCCTGAGTGGTTGCTAGGTGGTTGCTAAGGTGTTTCTAGGCGGTTGCTAGGGTGTTCTGAGTGGTTGCTAGGTGGTTGCTAAGGTGTTGCTAGGTGGCTGCTAAGGTGTCCTGAGTGGTTGCTAGGTGGTTGCTAAGGTGTTGCTAGGTGGTTGCTAAGGTGTTGCTAGGCGGTTGCTAGGGTGTCCTAAGTGGTTGCTAGGTGGTTGCTAAGGTGTTGCTAGGGGGTTGCTAGGGTGTCCTAAGTGGTTGCTAGGTAGTTGCTAAGGTGTTGCTAGGCGGTTGCTAGGGTGTTCTGAGTGGTTGCTAGGTGGTTGCTAAGGTGTTGCTAGGTGGTTGCTAAGGTGTCCTAAGTAGTTGCTAGATGGTTGCTAGGGTGTTCTGAGTGGTTACTAAGGCGTTGCTAGGTGGTTGCTAGGGTGTCTTGAGTGGTTGCTAGGTGGTTGCTAAGGTGTTGCTAGGTGGTTGCTAGGGTGTCCTGAGTGGTTGCTAGGTGGTTGCTAAGGCGTTGCTAGGCAGTTG